GAGTCTTAAACTAGGAAGTATCTTGCAATGCTGCTCATTTTCTAGTGATAAATTCAGAAATTGGTCCATTTCAAGTTCATCACTAGCTTTTCCTATTCACTTCTCTCTCAAGATAGTTTCCCTTAAATCTAAGATTCATTTTTTCTCAAGAATTATATTTCAAAAATATGCATAAAGCATAGGTTGAGTGAATAATTACAAAGCTAATGAATAGTCAAGAAGCAGAACTTAAAAAAAAAAACAAAAGAAGCAGAACTTCACCCTTACTGGTTTGGCTCAGTGGATAGAGCGTCGGCCTGCGGACTCAAGGGTCCCGGGTTCGATACTGGTCAAGGGCATGTACCTTGGTTGCGGGCACATCCCCAGTAGGGAGTGTGCAGGAGGCAGCTGATTGATGTTTCTCTCTCATCGATATTTCTAACTCTCTATCCCTCTCCCTTCCTCTCTGTATAAAAATCAATAAAATATATTAAAAGAAGAAGAAGCAGAACTTCTCAGTCATATAAGATTAAAGTTCTAGAGACCTGCTGTACAGAATGTGCTTATAATTAACAACATTGTGCACTTAAAACATAAAATTTGGGAAAAAAATAAAGAATACTGATATACCTACCTCAGAAATTGACCACCCCCATCAAATCCCCTTATCCCTTTCTGATCACTCTCTCAGGTAACCAGTGGTAATTACTTGCTTGTTTGTCTTTATAGTTTTACTTCCTTAAAAACTTGTCTATTTTTGTCTGTTTTAGAAATCGACATGGAAAAGAGATGATCAGTCACATATGTAAACATACCTTGCTTCTCTGGTTTCCCGTTACGTTTGTAAGGTTCATGCGTTGTGTGTGGCTGTGGTTTGTTCATTCTCTTTATATTTGTTCCACCATGGATGGATGTTTGGGCTGTTTTCAATGTAGGCTCGTAGGAACAATGCTATTTTAAACCTTCTTGAGTATGTCAGTGAGAGTTTCTGTGGGATTGGAATGAGTGGGCTATAGAGTATGCAGAGCCTAAACTTCACCAGAAAAGGCCAAACTGTTTTCTAAAATGACTGAACCAAATGATGAGTAGATGACAGCTCCCACTATCATTCTTTTTTGACCTCCAGACTTGTTCCTCTTATGCACTTTTATCTTACGTGTGACATTTGCATTTGTATTTTCTTTCCACTTTGAAACTTATTTATTTTAAATATATATTTTTATTGATTTCAGAGAGGAAGGGCGAGAAATAGAGAGATAGAAACAGCAATGAGGAGAGAGAATCATAGTTTGGGTGCCTCCTGCACGCCCCCGCTCCCCGCCCCCGGGGACCAAGCCCACAACCTGGGGATGTGCCCTTGACCGGAATCAAACTTGGGACTCTTCAGTCTGCAGATCAATGCTCTATCTACTGAACCAAACCAGCTAGGGCCACTTTGAAACTTTTAAAAAATCACTTATTTTTTTATTGAAATTGCATGGCTTATTCTATTTTTCACTAGGTCTTCCAGGAATCTCACTGTTTTGAATGTGACAGGGAATGATATTTGTAAAACACTTCAAAACTAAGCAAAACATAGCAAAATACAAAATAATGGAGTGGCAGAGACTAAAAATGACCCTTAGGGCCATCTTGTACCCATTTCTGGCTGACAGAATTATAATGCTTTACTCTAAAGTTTTCACTCCCAACTAGTTTATGAGTTAAAAATTGGCAAGCCGCCGAAACCGGTTTGGCTCGGTGGATAGAGCGTCGGCCTGCGGACTGAAAGAAAAATCAATAAAAAAAATATATTAAAAAAAAAAATTGGCAAGCATGTTGGAGGCATGTCATTTTACAGTTGTCAAAGCCCACAGAATGTACAACAAAAAGTGAATCCTAAGGTAAACTATGGACTTTAGTTAATAACTAGGGGCCCAGTGCACAAATTTGTGCACCTTGAAAGGAACTGGAGCCCTGAGGCTGCGGTGGGTACAGGGGTAGGTCTTAGCCCATCCTCCGAGCCCCTGCCTGGCCCTTCCTGCTGCGGCCCCCAGCCCCCTCTCTGCTGTCAGCCCTGCTCCCACTGTTGCCGCTCCCATGTGCTGAGGGCACAGAGCAATTGGGGCTGGCGTCAGCAGAGGGTGCGAGTGGAGGCTGCTGCCCTGATTGCCCCTTAGGGGCGATCAGGGCGGGCAGCTGCTGCTCCTACCCGCTGATGGTGCCAAACGATCAAGACCGGCGCTAGGCTCTGGCAGTGGATGCAAGTGGTTCTGGCACCGGCTGCCAGTATGAGCAGGGTCAGCACCGGCAGCAGGTGTGAGCGCCGGGTGGGACTGCAGCACGCAGGAACAAAGAATTTTCAATAACCACCAGAGGCTTGTCCTGATGACAGTGACCAGCACCCGGCCTTGGTGTGATGCCCCCGCCCATCTGCTCTACCATCCCACTGCGGCCAATGCCCGCCATGTTTCCGTGTATGCCCCCTGGTGGTCAGCGCATGTCATAGTGACCAGTTGTTCCACCATTTGGTCTATTTGCAGATTAGCCTTTTATTATATAGGATAATGTATTAATATTGGCTCATCAAATGTACCACACTATACAAGATGTTAATAATGAGGAGAGAGGGGAACTCTGTATTTTCCACTCAATGTTAATATAAATCTAGATACAAAATAATTTATACTGTATTGTTCCATTTGTATGAAGTTCAAAACCACAAAACTATCGTGTTAGAACTAAGTTAGAAACTAAGGAAAATAGTTTACCTTTAAGCAGGAGGGGGAGAGTTTTTTTTTTTTTAAATCCTCACCTGAGGATATTTTTTCCATTGATTTTTTAGAGTGAGAGAGAGAGAGAGAGAGAAAGAGAAGAGAAACATCAATGTAAGAGAGAAATATCCATCAGTTGCCTCCCCTATGCACCCAACCAGGGATCAAACCCATAAACTTTTGTTGTACAGGAGTCTGTTTCAACGAACTGAGCCACCCAACCAGGGCTTTTTTTTTTAAAAAAAAAAAAACCTTTTTAAAATTTTCTTTTTATTTAATAATTTTTTGTTTAAAGTATTACATATGTTCCCTTTTATCCCCCATAAACCCCCTCCATCCCCCCCTCTGTTCCCTCCCCCACTTGGCTGTCACCACCCCATTGTGTCCATTTCCCCAAATATTTTTATTAATTTTTAGAGATAGAGAAACATCAATGGGCTGCCACCTGCACGCACCCACTGGGGATCAAGCTAGCAACCCAGACATGTGCCCCGACCGGGAGTCAAACCAGCAACCCTCTGGTGTGCAGGATGATGCCCAGGGCCTGCTAAGAATGACTTTTGTAAAAAATCAAAGAATTAATATTTTGAGTTTGGCTCAGTGGATAGAGCATCAGCCTACAGACTGAAGGGTCCTGGTTTCAATTCCAGCCAAGGGCACATGCCCAGGTTGCGGGCTCTTTCCCAGTATGGGGCGTGCAGGAGGCAGCCAATCAATGATTCTCTCTCATCATTGATGTTTCTATCTCTCCCTCTCCCTTCCTCTCTGAAATCAATAAAATATATTTTTTAAAAAAG